TTATCGATGAATTTTGTTTTTATAGAAAATTATCGATGAATTTTCTTTTTATAGAAAATTATCGATGAATTTTTTTTTATAGAAAATTATCGATGAATTTTGTTTTTATAGAAAATTATCGATGAATTTTGTTTTTATAGAAAGTTATCGATGAATTTTGTTTTTATAGAAAATTATCGATGAATTTTGTTTTTATAGAAAGTTATCGATGAATTTTGTTTTTATAGAAAATTATCGATGAATTTTGTTTTTATAGAAAATTATCGATGAATTTTGTTTTTATAGAAAATTATCGATGAATTTTGTTTTTATAGAAAATTATCGATGAATTTTGTTTTTATAGAAAATTATCGATGAATTTTGTTTTTATAGAAAATTATCGATGAATTTTGTTTTTATAGAAAATTATCGATGAATTCTCATTTTATAGAAAATCTCCGATGAATTCTCATTTTATTGAAATTTTTCGATGAATTCTCATTTTATAGAAAATTTTCGATAAACTTTCTTTTCATAAAAAATTTTTGATAAGTTCTCTTTTCATAGAAAATTTCGATAGGTTCTCTTTCATAGAAAATTTTCTATAAATTTTCTTTTTATAAAAAATTTTCAATAAATTTTCTTTTCATAGAAAATTTTCGATAAATCTTCTTTTCATAGAAAGTTGTCGATAAATCTTCTTTTTATAGAAAATTTTCGATAAATTTTCTTTTATAGAAAATTGTCGATAAATTTCCTTTCTATAGATTTCCTTTCGATAGAAAATTTTCGATAAAATTCCTTTCGATAGAAAATTTTTCATTAATTTCCTATTGATAGAAAATTTTCGAGAAAACTCCTTTTGATAGAAAATTTTATATGCTAGTGAAGTTGAGATTTACTGTTTTCAAGATTTGAAATTAATTTAATTTCATAACATACATATTTCATTACAAAGACGCTGACTTGAGCACTTTAACTTGTTTTTCTAATAAATAAAAAAAAATGCTGTCCTTGTACTTTTTCTCTTACATGATTCCATAAAAATCATTTACTTTTTTAAGTAAAATTTATTACATAAAATGTATTTAAGTAGCATGTATAGAGATTGTTATTGTTTTAATGTAAAGTACATTATAATAGTATTACATTTATTTTCTGATGTTGATATTGTTATTGTTATTACTACAGTCAAATAGCAACAACATTTAACTAAGTAAAATATCATAAAAATTAATTTGTATCAAAAAGCAAAGCAAGCTGAAAGGAATGTTTTGGTATCTATACCTATTTGTTAGACTAGCTCTTTAAATACAATAACAAAAATATAAGTTTTTAAGCTTAACAACTAGACTGATTTAAGCCAAATTATATTAATTTTTTCATATCAGCTGTTTATCTAATTACAAATGTGTATTTTTTGTGTGTTTTAATATGTTCATAAATTTGCTGGAATTACTCATTGTAATATTATTTGATGAGTGAGTTATTTGGTAAATATTTTATTACCATGTTTTGTGTTTTCTTTGTCGTTTTTTGTTACTGAAGGATTAAATTAATTTGCTTGCAATGTCTGGTTTTAATGACATCAGAGATAATTTCTATTTTCTAAGATTTTTTGTTATGATTTTTGCTGTTAAAATCATCATCATAATTATTACACAAAAAACTTAAGAAACAAGATAAAGAAAACGTTCACCTAAAAAAACTATTTTTCTTTTTTATTTTTTATATAGATAATTTTCGATAAAATCTCTTTTTATAAATAATTTTCGATAAATTTTCCCTTTATAGAAAATTTTTCGATAAATTCTCTTTTTATAAAAAATTTTCGATAAAATCTCTTTCTATAAATAATTTTCGATAAATTTTCCCTTAATAGAAAATTTTTCGATAAATTCTCTTTTTATAAAACCTTTTCGATAAATTTTATTTTTATAAAATATTTTCGATAAATTCGCTTTTTAAAGAAGATAAATTCTCTTTTTACAGAAAAATTTCGATAAATTCTCTTTTTACAGAAAAATTTCGATAAATTCTCTTTTTACAGAAAATTTTCGATAAATTCTCTTTTTACAGAAAATTTTCGATAAATTCTCTTTTTACAGAAAATTTTCGATAAATTCTCTTTTTATAGGCAATTTTCGATAAATTCTCTTTATATAGAAAATTTTCGACAAATTTTCTTTTAATAGAAACATTTTCGATAAATTCTTTTTTTATAGAAAATTTTCGATTAATTCTCTTTTTATAGAAACATTTTCGATAAATTCTCTTTTTATAGAAAATGTTCGATAAATCTCTTCTTATAGAAAATTTTCGATAAGTTTTCTTCTTATAGAAAATTTTCAATAAATTCTCTTCTTATAGAAAATTTTTAATAAATTCTCTTTTTATAAAAATTTCGATAAATTCTCCTTTTATAGAAAATTTTCTTTTAATTCTCTTTTTATAGAAAATTTTCGATAAATTCTCTTTTTATAAAGAATTTTAGATAAAATCTCTTTTTATAGAGAATTCTCTTTAATAGAAAATGTTCGATAAATTCTCTTTTTAGAAAATTTTCGATAAATTCTCTTTTTATAGAAAATTTCCTATAAATTCTCTTTTAGTAGAAAATGTTCTATAAATTCTCTTTTTATAGAAAATGTTCGATACAATCTCGTTTAAAACGGAAGTTCTAGAAAAATTCCCTTTTTTATAAAAACATTTTCTAGTTTAAATCATTTTCAACATTTTTTTTTTTAGAAAATATTCGATGAATTAATTCTCTTTATATAGAAAATTTTCGATAACTATTTTTTCATAGAAAATTATCGATAAATTTTCTTTCTAAAGACAATAAATAAAGTTTATCTTTTTAAAAACAATTTTGCACAAATTTTCGATAAATTGTATTTTGATAACATATTTCGTAATTATCTTTTGTCAAAACATTTTCTTTCTAGAAAATTATTGATAAAGTTTATTTTTAGAGAATATTCGGTAAGTTTTCTTTTTAGAATATTTTTGATAAATTTTCTTTTCATAGAAATTTTTTTTATAAATTTTTGATAAAGTGCTTTTATAAGAAATTTTAGAAAACTGTTCCTTTTTATAGTAAATTTACATAAATTTTGCTTTTTATAGTAAATTTTCCATAAATTTTCTTTTTATAAAAATGAAATTTCTTTTTATAGAAAATTTTCCATGAAATTTCTTTTTATAGAAAATTTTCCATGAATTTTCTTTTTATAGAAAATTTTCCATGAATTTTCTTTTTATAGAAAATTTTCCATGAATTTTCTTTTTATAGAAAATTTTCCATGAATTTTCTTTTTATAGAAAATTTTCCATGAATTTTCCTTTTATAGAAAATTTTCCATGAATTTTCCTTTATAGAAAATTTTCTATGAATTTTCCTTTATAGAAAATTTTCCATGAATTTTCTAGAAAAATTCCCTTTTTTATAAAAACATTTTCTAGTTTAAATCATTTTCAACATTTTTTTTTTTAGAAAATATTCGATGAATTAATTCTCTTTATATAGAAAATTTTCGATAACTATTTTTTCATAGAAAATTATCGATAAATTTTCTTTCTAAAGACAATAAATAAAGTTTATCTTTTTAAAAACAATTTTGCACAAATTTTCGATAAATTGTATTTTGATAACATATTTCGTAATTATCTTTTGTCAAAACATTTTCTTTCTAGAAAATTATTGATAAAGTTTATTTTTAGAGAATATTCGGTAAGTTTTCTTTTTAGAATATTTTTGATAAATTTTCTTTTCATAGAAATTTTTTTTATAAATTTTTGATAAAGTGCTTTTATAAGAAATTTTAGAAAACTGTTCCTTTTTATAGTAAATTTACATAAATTTTGCTTTTTATAGTAAATTTTCCATAAATTTTCTTTTTATAAAAAAATGTCGATTACATTTTTTTATTCAAGATTATCGATAATTTTTTTGTAGAATATTTTTAATAAATTTTCTTTTTATAGACAATATTCGATAAATTTGCTATCTAAAAATTTTTTTGATGCATTTTCTTTTAATAGAAAATTTCCGATAAATTTTCTTTAAATAGAAAATTCTCGATAAATTGAATTTTCTGTTTATAAAAAATTATCGTGATTCTTTTTTTTCCTTTATATTTGAATTATTTTGTATGTAAGTATATTGAACGAAGACTTGTATTAAAAAATACCCCCTACTGGGATACATAAAAATGTCTGCCATTGTCTGGATATTTTCCATAACATTCATACATAATTTAACATTATTGATACATAATATAAGGATACATAAAGAAATAAATAACACATTAATAAATTTCGAAATATAACTATAACTTTTTTTATAGAATTATATAAATAAATAACTTTTGATATATTTTTATAACAAAGTTTGTAACATCTTTTCCATTTACTTTATCAAAAACAGATTAACTATAAATAAATAATTTTGTATTTTGATTTATGTTGTGATAGACATAGATACTTTATTATGGCTTTCAAGGAATTACATTAAAAATATTTTTTCTATTTGTTTGCTTAAGAAAACTTAAAGATTGTTTTTGTTTGTATTAGAAACATAATTTAACTTAAATACTTATGTGAAAGCTAATGCAAAATCTACAAGGAACGAAAAATTTGAGGACAAATAATTAAAGAAAACAATTAACAATTAATTCTTTAATAATTTAATTTTTTTAAATTATGAATAATTTCCTTCTGCATATAACTTAGCTATTTATGTTTTAAATATGAAATGCTTACACTTAAAATAATGCATAAACTACTTTTGAAGCCATAAATAATACAGATAAGAAAATTTGATTCAAGCTTTTTTTTCATTTTCATCAATTTACAAATTACTCAAACAGCTTTAATAGAATGCTAACAGATTAAAAGAAAGCAGTAAAGAAAAAATACACAATAGACAAAATTGTTTTTTTTTTGTTTTTGGCAAGCATTAGTAACTAGTGTTCATTAGCAAAATGTTAACAAAACAAAATATACTGTACCGCACGAACCTCCCTGTGGAAAAAACTGTGAATAAATGAGTTTAAATGTCTCCTCCTTAACGACACCAGTTGGACATTCAGCCTTAAAACCACGATAAATTCGTTTGATTTCATCTTCTGTAAAGCGGGTGGAACGACTTAAAGCACTAAGAGAATCGGGTCGATATCGTGCCGGTGTTTCAAATTCTTCTAGTTCGGAATCTAAAAGAAAAGATGAATAAAAAATGATTATTAAAAGATTTTATTTAACTTTAAATTTTTCATAGTTCTGTTTTTAACTGAGACTATGAGACAAAACTTTAAAAATAAATACAATTTTTTTGTATTTGTTTTTTTTACTAGAGATTTGTAGTTTTACAATAACTTTAATATTTATGGCTCAATATTTGTTATCTAAAAATGATTTACTGACTTATTTGTTGGCACTCATCGATTTTCTATTTATTTTGGAATGTTATACACTGTGGGAAGTTAAAATATACTGGGACGTATACGTAATATTTTTATTTTTCTATACATAATATTACTTATACGTATACATATTTAATATACATAAATCCACACACTACATGATTATATTATCAATTAAAAATTTATAATTTATTTTCTTCATTCGATTAGAGAAAGTTTTCGATAAATTTTCTTTTTATAGTAATTTTTCGCCAAATTTGCTTTTTATAGAATATTATTGATACATTTTCTTTTTAAAGGAAATTTTCGATAAATTTTCTTTTTATAGAAAATTTGCGATAAATTTTCTTTTTATACAAATATTTTCGATAAATTTTCTTTTTATACAAATATTTTCGATAAATTGTCTTTTTATACAAATATTTTCGATAAATTGTCTTTTTATTCAAATATTTTCGATAAATTGTCTTTTAATTCAAATATTTTCGATAAATTGTCTTTTTATACAAATATTTTCGACAAATTTTATTTTTATAGAAAATTTTCGATAAATTGTCTTTTTATAGAACATTTTTGATAAATTGTGTTTTATAGAGCATTTTCGATAAATTTTCTTTTTATAGAACATTTTCGATAAATTTTCTTTTTGTGGAACATTTTCGATAAATTTTCTTTTTATAGAAACCTTTTCGATAAATTTTCTTTTTATAGAACATTTTTGATAAATTGCCTTTTTATAGAACATTTTCGATAAATTTTCTTTTTATAGAACATTTTCGATAAAAAATGTTCTATATTCTTTTGTAGAAACATTTTTCCATAATTGTTTTTTTTTTAAATTTGATAAAAAATGTATAATTTTAATAAATTTTATTTTCAATAAAATTTTTATGATGTTAAATAAACATTGTAATGAAAATTGTCCATAAATTTTAATTTTATTGCAAATTTAAATAAATTTTTGTTTTATAGAAAAATTTCCAAATTTTTGTTTTAGGGAAAAATTTTGTTAAATTTGTTTAATAGAAAATTTTTGGTTCAATTATCTCTTTATAGAAAATTTTCGTTAAATTTTCTTTTTATGGAAGGTTTTCCTTAAATTTTCTTTTCAAAGAAAATTTGTGAAAAATCTAAATTTTATATCGAAAATTGTCGATAAATTTTTTTTGTATTGAAAATTTTCATTTTTTTGCCTATTGCGTGCCATTTAGGGAACGTCTGTTATATGTAGACCATTGTCCCTTAAACCTTGACCAATATGAAATAAATGGCTCTGTTAGTATTATTGTTCAATTGTCTATGCACATTTTTTTAAGTTACAAAATCATTGGGGATTTTTATTTTATTTTTAGATTTTTATTTTATTTTCCTAACATTCATAAAAACTACAAATATGATGAATTTGCATATTTTATATACACATTTATTTACTGTAACTTTTTATTTAGTTTAGTTACAAATTCATAGAATATTTTTTAGTATTTCGAAACTAAACAATGTGAAAAATATTTGCAAGAAAAGTTGTTTTTTTTTCCGAAATTTTCCCTTTAGCAAATGATAAAAAGAAGCAAACAAAGATGTTACCCAAATGTCTGGCATTATTACCAAAAAAAAAAAAAGAAAGAACCACTAATTTGAAAGTCCCTACGGAGATTAAATAAATTTATGAAGAAGGTTATGTTGGGGAAGTTATTTAAATTTAACAAACTTTCAAAATTATAGCCAAAAGGCATGGAAAACAAATATGCTTTCTTTTGTAACTAAAATTAAGACCAGAATAAAAGTATTTCATTTTGCTGATACAAACAATTCTTGGGAGATTTAAAAAGACTTGTAATTTTATATTTAAAATAAATAAAAAATATAAAGAAATATAAGTTTTTATATAAATAGCCTAACAGTAGGCAATATATTTTTCTTTTAAATGTATCTTTGAAGTGGGCTACATATAACAATTTCCAATAAATATTCCTTTTGTTTTTTTTTTTTTGCTGTAATTAAAAGAACTGTTAATTATTTATTTGCTAAACCCTCAAAAGCTTTTAACAGCTGTTGTCTTTAAGTGTGAACCTGCAAAAATTACTGATGTTTTCACTTTAACTGATTGATTTATTAAGTGTTGTATTAATTGTTTCTTTTGTTTTATTATCCTGCAGACATAGGCAGGATTTATTTGCTATATCGTAGTTTTACTTAAGTGTCTCTTTAGGAGTGAAGAAATGCTAGTGACACAACTGTCCTTGTCAATTATATTTAAGACACATTAAATATAAATTAATGTGGTTTTAATTCCGAAAATGAGATGTTAAGTGGACAATTATTTTTTGTTAGTATGTTGACAAAAGTGAAATGAATAATTATAGTAAATCTTCACTATATAAGTATAATAAAAATAAGTTTAAATTTTATTAATTTAATATAGTTTTCTTACAACAAATAGGTTCAGTAGATAAATTGAAATTTTCTTCTTTGGTAATATTTTGACTTTATTTTCACCTAACCATTTTCTGCATAATCAAATGTCAATTGACTTTTTAAAATTTTATTTATTTCTATTAAAGTTTTTAGACCTCTTATTTTTTGCATTGAATAAAAAACCATAAGACATATAGTGTGGGGACTAGAAGTTGTCATTCATCAAAAGTTTTTCAATAAAACTTTTATCGGCCAAGTTTTTTTTATCATCATTATATACATACACAATTTCTTTGATTTCCTCCATATGTTGCACAAAACTTGTGTTCAATAGTGATAAAATTGTTGGTTTATATTGCTAGAAAAGATGTATTTATAAAAAAATGCAAATAATTTGCTTCACTTTGTTAGTGGACTTATGTATATTAGCCTAAGAGAATGGTACATATGGATTTAAAAATGATATAAGGTGATAGGCATCCGAAGTTTTTCTAAAGGAAGGAGGTTGTATTTGGAAAACTTTTCTTATAGAAAAACTAACCAGACTCTAAAGAAATTTTATATAGAGAAATATTGATCAAAATATTATCATACTCTGAAAATTCACACTCTAAAGGCCTCTTTTATGGAAGATACCATAAAAATCTAAAGAACTTTTCTATAGAATAACAAGTCAGAATGGCCGAATGTGTGATACCCTACATGTTAAAAATATAGATTATTTTTTAATAATAAAGCATTTAAGTTTCGTACTTTGACAAAAAAGAGATTTTCCAAAAGAGGAGTTATGTGGGGGCAAGTGTAAATATGGGACTATCCTTATACATATTGGTAGACAGACAGGCAGACAGACAGACAGACACACAGGTACACAGATACACAGACAGACAGACAGACAGACAGACAGACAGACAGACAGACAGACAGACAGACGGACGGACGTACAGACTGACATAGCTTAATCGACTCAGAAAGTGATCAATATTGTTGGGTATTACAAACATCATTAGAAAAGTTAAATTCTACGAAAAGTTTGAAGAATTTTTCTATAGAAAAGTTGATTAGACTATGCATTACTTCTCAATAGAAAAGTTGACTAGAATCTGAAAAGCTTTTCTATAAAACAGTTGATGAACTTTACTATAGAAAAGTTAATCAGAATTTGAAGAGCTTTACTATAAGTTGATCGGAATCTAAAGAACTCTTCTATAGAAAATTTGATTAGACTCAGCATAAATTTTTCTATAGAAAAGTAGATCAGATTCTGAAGATTATTTCTTTAGAAAATTCGTTTAGACTCTGATAAACTGATTTTGAAGAACTTTTCAATATTTTAGTTGATCAAACTCTGAAGATCTGTTTTGTATAAAAAAAAATCCGATTCTGAAGAACGTTTCTATTGAAAAGGGCATTTTTTATAGAAAAGCATATCAGGGATAGATTAACTTTTGTATAGAAAAGTTTATCAGTCTTTGAAGAATTTTTCTGCAGAAAAGTTGGTTAGACTCTGAAGAACTTTTCTATAGGGAAGATGATCTCACTCGGAAGACTTTTTTAATCGAAAAGTTGATAAGAATCTAAAGAACTTTTCTATTGAGAAATGTATAAAAATCTGAAGAACTTTTCTATAGTGAATTTGATCAGACTGTGAAGAATTTTTCTGTAGAAAACTCGACCAGATTTTGAAGAACTTGAAGTTACAAAAATCTTTTCTGTGGAAGAGTTGATCAAAACTTAATACCTTGAATAAAAAAGTTGATCAGTCTCTAAAAATCTTTTCAATTGAGAATTTGTTTAAACTCGGAACATCTTACCTACAAGTAGATCAGATATTTCTATGGAAATTTTAATATTCAGTTTACTATAAGCATGAATTGCACCAAATTCACATTTTATTATATTTGTGTTAATTTTATTTCTTGTAGGTCATGTCTTTATTATCCAAATAAATTGCTTATTCTTTAATATTTATAAAAAATTACAAAACCATCTGTGTTACATTATATTACTGCCTTTTCATTTAAATGCGATAATTTTTCTGTTACAAATCCGAACTTTCCAATTTGCCATAAATAATTTTTAAACCACCATTAAATCCATTTAATTTGGTTTATAAAAAAATAAAATATTTATTAACTAAAAGTTTAACATGAATTATGAGCACAGCCCGCCCCTATTTGTTGGAAAAAAAAAAAAACGGGAAAAAACAAACAAATAAATAAGACTATAAATTTTTAGCTTTTTGCTAAATGTGTAAAACATTACAGTTTTAAAGCAAATGATCCTTAGAAATATGTTTATTTTTCTGTTTGTATTTAAAAAACTCTTAACTAAAAACCCACATAAAAAGAAACTTTCATATTGTTTTTTTTTAT